TTCTGCTGTCCCTGGGAAGAGTGAAATGTTCAGCCATTTGCAGCTTACCAAAAAGAGGCACTCACCTGAGTGCTTGACTAGGGAGATGGAGAATGTGAATCATCATTATTTTCTCACCTCTTTCTGGATTCTCTTGAACCTACAGCTAATTTCTAGGAGCTGGAACAAATCAGCTCACTATTCTGGGCCTCAGTTTCCTTATCTGCTTGACGAGGTGGTTGCTATCTTAAAAAAAATAATAATAATGGGTTGTTCCTCCACTCTGGGTTTGGTGCACAGCATCCAGGCAGAAATGAGTGCTGTTCACCAGCCCTGTCATTTCCATTCTGGAACAGAGAGATCATTGGTTTCCAGTGTGTTCTTATGGATGGACACCCCAGTTCATCCTTTCAGATGAAGATGTTCCTTCTTGTTCCTTCCAATTCTAACATTTTGTAGTTCCTTCCACACACAAAAAAACATTTCTTCCACCATGTGCCTAATTCCTGTTTCTGCCCTAAGACCAGGCCCAAAACTTTCTATGAGTCCCTGAGTACAGATGGATGGGAAGCCTTCTGGCTCAAACTTGGTGTTTCTTTCACACCACAGCCTGAGGCTTTATCTGATATGTTTCTATGATTCAGGGACTTCCTCATTCTAGGGGGACTGAAAACTATGGAGGTGACAGTGGAGATTTCCTCTTTCCTGTCAAGGGCAATGTATGAGACTTCTTCCTCCCCACCTCACCCCACGCAGCCTCCTTTAAAAAAAAAATCATTTATTTTATATCTTTGGTAAAAAACTATAAGAGAAAGAAAGGGAGGGTGGAGAGGAAAAAGGAGAGGAAAGAAAGAGAGAAAGCAAGCTCCGGGGAGGGAGGGAGGGAGGGAGGGAGGGAGGGAAAGCAGAGGGAAAGCAAGGCAAGAAGCAGCCCACTGAAAGATTAGATCTGATCCATTTGTTTTTGGGTTTGGGTGTTAGGCAGATTCCCAAATGATAAAATTATGATCAATGGGCACAACTTTTCATTTTTAAAAAATTCAGGTAATTTAAGGCCAGGTGACTGCAGAACAAAGAGTTCCGGCAGCCAGGCTTTCTCTCTCTATAGCTCCCATCTAGGTGACTTGGATGAATCTGAAGACAAAACTCCATTGAACCATTTACTTGCTCCTCTGCGTCCAAGCTGCTCTGGGGCCAGCCGTTTTCTGCCTCCTCTGAACTAATGCATCTCATCAAGACTCTGGATACGCTGCTCTGCGCAGCTTTCACAGACCATCTCCCGGGACTGCCTAAAAGCAGATTACCCTCCTGCTCCTTCTGAATTTGCATCCAGATGAAATCCAGTTCAAGGAAACAGCAAAGACAGCTGTAAAAGGGAAAAGCATAGAAGTTTTCACAAGAAGGCAACCAGCTCCCAGAAGATTAGAAAGGAAAAGAGGGAGTTGAGCTCTGCTTTGTTTGACATCAACTGATCTTTCAGGATCCAAGAGGGCCAAATGACACCTTCCCATAACACCCAGTCCAGGTGTCATCTCCCCAGGGCAGTCTATCTGGATTCCTACCTTTTCCTCCATCCTCAAGGTTGGAAATAGACTCTCTCCTCTTCTCTGCTCTAGTACAGCCCTTACTACTTCCTACTCTGGCTTACTCTATGGAAAAACTCTCTTGGAGACTATAAGTTCCTTTAGGGCAGGGATCACTGGGAAGTGTGACATAACTTCTCACTGAATGTAAGTTTATGGAGACACAAATAAACACATAGACACAGACATAATCTTGCACGGTGCCCGGAAAACAGTAGAAACTTGATAACTACTTGGCAAAACAAAGAATGAAAGAATAAATGATAAATTCACTGAATCTGTTTCTGAACCCCTTACTGTTCCCTTATCATATGAGCTTTTGTTTTGCTTAAAGAGAGAATTTACCAAAAAGAAAAAAAAAAAAAGAAAGAAAGAAAATTAAAAAGAAGGCCTACAATATGGGATGTATGACTTCTCCACTGACTTCCAGACCAGACCTGGTGGTGGCCTCACGGCTCCTTCTCCCTTGCTCCCCTCTTGCATTTGAGGAATGCAAATTCAATAATCAGGGGAGAAGATGCACTCACCTCCCTCCCCTGCATGCCCTGCACAGCAATTACCCTCTTGCAAGTATCTCTCCACTGGCAGATTAGAAGTTCAAAAAGCTTCGCCTTGTTGCTGACCTGCATAGAATCATGGCAGCTGATAAGGCAAGGCAGCTACGGGGTCTGCAGCTGGAGGCTGGTAAGGGATGGGCTGAGAGCCGATCCTGCTTCCCCAGCATCCCCCGGCACACAATCTGGCCGATTATTGACAATGCTGAGTGATGTGGATGGCATTTATTAGTTTTCAATAGCTGCTATAAAATGAACATCATGCCATCTGCAAAATTAGGATTCCGAAGCAGCCCTGGATATTAAAATATTTGTGACTGCTTCTGCTATTATATAAGATTTTACATTTTATAGGCTCCCTGGGGGACTAGAGGCATAAATTAAGATACATATTTAGAAGCAGTAAATAAACTTAGGAAAGCAGCAGTACAATTAATGAATGGACAGAAAATTGCATTTGGGAGGAGAGAGTTTTTCTACAGAGAGAGTCATCAGCGAAATGGGGTTTAAACATTCTCCTGCCACTATCATTAAGACATTAATAGGAAAAATAATATACTGGAATTCATAAGAAGGAATTTTCAGAAAGTATATAAACAACTCTATGTATAAAAGAGAGATTCAGTGAGTAATAGACCTCCTCTCCCTTGCCATCCCACTGGACTGCATCCAGCAGTACCATCTCCAACAGAGTAAATGGCTGATCAAAGGAATTCCACAGAAAACTTCCAAGGCCTGATTCTAATGTCACTCAATTTTCTAGCATAATTACCGTATTGTGTCACTTTCTCTTAACCCCACATTCCTAATGAAGACACAATCACAGCGTGATTCAAAGATGCAAGAGCAAATCAGGGTCAATCACTATTAGTTTGAATTCCCTAGGCAGGTTGGGTTTATTCATAGATCCCTCCTGGGCTGGACCACCACCCATTAGGATGGGTGTGCTCACTGTGACATTGGCTTGGCTCTGGCAGGATTTCGAGGAAAGGGTGCTTCTTGTATTTGTCTTATATTTGGCCTCTTGCATCCCTTCTTCCACCTGCCCTTAGAGATAACCTGGAGGAAAGCCTCTCTCTTTGTCTTCTCTAGCAATATCACATTGGGTTGGTCCATGTTTATTTCTGGTGCCTGTGAGCATGTCTGATGCCTCAGAACAAATGGGTGTTCAAGTGTCATCCTGCAACCATCTATCTGGGTGCCCTCACTACCAAGTCTGGGATACCCAATGGCAGGGCAAAAGGCAGCTCTTGGTTACCCAGGACTAGTAGTTTCATCTGTGATCACACAGGATGAGGCCATTGCTCATGCCCTCATTTCCTCTCCTGGATCTGTTCTTTCTTTCCAATTGTACCTCCACATCAATCAAAACTCAGCATCGGGATGCTGGCCTCTCTCAATTCACCTTTGAAATGCTGCTTGTACTAACGGTGGTCAGAGCCTTAGGAAACCATTCCCTGAAGTATCACTGATCTGAAACATAATCCAGAGATAGAAAGGGCTCTGGCTTGCTGCTTTATATTAGAGCAAAAATAATCACGGTAATAGCTTGCATTCTCCTTGATACTTTTCATTCAATAATGTCAAGTAATTTGTACGCAAGTAATTAAGAAAACACTCCTTTGTGGTAACTTACTAATTTAGCTCCCATTTTAAAGAGAGACACAAAGAGGCTTAATGATTCTCCCCAGGGGACAGCAGAGTAGGTAGCAGAAGCATTGGGTATAGAGTGATTTGTGGCATAAGATCTCTCATGTTCAGCTCTAATCCCCAATATTGGGCTCACAAAATTGCTTCGGAGCGGGAGTTGGTGTCGAGTCTCTTGGGTGGTGTTGCTCTGTTCTATTGAAGAGCCGCCGGTTTTGCCGCAGAGGCAGCTGCATTTCTTAGCTGTGGGTGAATATTTTTGTACTTTCTTTTCATCACATGATGTATATCATTCCCCGCACTGGCATTTCCAATCACAGAGAGCAGCAGAACCACAGAATGAATTGGAGAACTGTAATTTTTCCCCCTCATTGATTTGGGGGGAGGGAGAGAGGGGATGGGGAGGGGAATGGGTAAGGTGGAATGTTCTTTCAAATCTCCCAACAACACCACTACTGGATGTTTCTTTCACCTCACAACTGCTCATTCAAACTCCCCTCTTTCCATTCTGCCTGCCTCTGCCAGCCTCTTCAACAGGCCCAGACTGCTTCCATCCTCAGAGCATCAGGTGCATAGTCCAAGCAGGATACATGACCTCGGTGACCAGAGCACAAGGTCCCCATCTCCACCTACTTCCACTCTCATCCCCCTCCTGCTCACGGACTCTTTGGATGAGTAGGAAATGACATTCGGTATTAGAGATAGCATTATTTGATGGTGGTGGTCATTATTTGTAATAATCCTTCTCAAGTTGGAATGCTGTGTATTTTGATGCTTTGGTTGCTGGAAGATGTGCCATTAAATTTCTATCTCATTCCTATGAAATTTAAGCTGACAAAGGGGAAAAGACAATTACTAGATTGCTTTTAAATGCGTTTTTCACTCTGAGGCATAGCAAGAACTTGGAGAATATTGGGTGGAGGTATAAAATCTCTTAGTGAAGTAGACAGAACTTGGAGAGGGAAGATGGAATTTATTGTTGCTATTAAAATAGTTGTTGGTTCTATTGAAGGTAACTATGAGTTGTGTTCTTAAACAACTTCAATAATTATAGTGGTAATTAGCACAGGTAGGCACACATGGAAATATAAACATGCAAGTAGATAAATATACTGGCAACTACATCAATAAAGCACTCTGCAAACATAAACTTCAATATAAATGTTAATTAATTACATAAGTAGGCATATAGGATGGGATGGTTATTCATATTACTGCAAAGATAAACCATACTTACAAAAAGGCAGTGCACACATTTGAGAGCCAGTTTTCTCCCCGTGTCTCATCTCAGCCTCCTGTGGTCCTAAGCAAAGGGTCAGGAAAGTCAAAGGCTCCAGCCCTTTGCTATTCAGTCCAACAACCCAAAGCCTACATGTGCCTGTTGAGCACTTCAGATGTTTCTAATCCCAAATGAAATGTACAAAGAGTGTAAAAAAAAAAAAGTACCAAATTTTGAAGGCTTAGCTTGAATATCTCATTAATAATTTTATATAGATTATACATGGGAATGATAATATTTCGGATATATTATGTTAAACAAAGTATATTATTAAAATAAATTGAAAATATTTCTTTATATGTTTTTACTATGGGTAGTAGGAAATTTTAAATTCTCTTGTGGCTTAGAGTACATTTTTATTGGACAATGTTTCTGTGGACTATTGAACCTGAGTTTGTGGAGCAATAGAAGTCAGGGACAAGGAATGGTTCTGGGGCTTCCAGGCCACATTCTGCTACTGTGACATTTCTGCCTGTGAGCTATTGGAGAATAAACCAAGGCTGTCTCTCCATGCCGTGAAGGACAGGGGTGAGCAAGCCGGTCCAGTAGTCCTGCTCAGCCTGGGAGGGACAACATTTGGCATCAGACACAGTAAAACAATGGGGCTCAAGGCATACTGGGGTATTTGGGTTGCTTATCTGCAAAGTTGGAAGAAAGGAAAGCACAGGTTTATCATGCCCCCCTTCTGGTAAGCACCTGTTTGGCTGCTGGGTATGCCAGCTAATTATTCATGAGGGGAGAAGAGGGAGGGGACAAATAAGAGGAAGACTGGCCTGGGAGTGGGAGGTGGGAATATGTGCTCAGTGTAGCTTCTGGAGTAGTTTGCCTCAGATTTTGCCACACAAGGGGTTTGCAGGGCACCTATTTGTCCTGAATGAAAAGGACTTGCACGAATTCATTCATGTATCACCCTGGTACAGTGTTTAAAAGTCAGATAAATGTTGACAACTGTGACATAACCTAGCTGTGGTGCCAACCACAACCATAACCCAGGTTATGGTGGTCAGTCCTGTTTGGGTGGGTTCTTTAAATCACTTGTTTTCTTATTTGCATGTTATTTGTGTAAACTCAACTACTAAGTTCAGAAGGCCTTAACTCCAAGAAGGCATAATTAAACTGAATTATATCAATAGTATAACCCCCTACAACTGTATGCAAATACATACCAAGATAAATGCTATTTGAGAATGTAAGATTATTAAACCATTGAATTCGTTGTAACTCAGAAATTGTGAATACACAACCTGTGTGGAACCCTCCTTTTGACATCACAATTCCTATAGGTCACAGGCACAGGAGAGTTTTTTTAAAGGTCCCAACTTTCTCAGAGATGTTTACCTTCCGGAGCCCTTAATGCTCATCCAGTACAGCTTCTCCCTGATCCTGATTGAGCAATAAGGCATCAAAGGCCCAGAGAGGAAATTGCTCAAGATGATACCACCACTCAGGGCTGACCCAAGACCAGAAAATGTCCCTGGTCCAGGTCCTCTTCTACTTGGAGATACAAGTGCTGGAGTAGGAAGGGGCTGTCATCTATAAAGCTAGCCATCTAAATGTCCCCGTAGAGCTAGTAAACTATGAAATGTAGTCCATCTCCTCCCTTGACAAGCATAACTTCCTAACAATGCAGCAGGCCAGCTTCTGTGCTAGAAATCTTGGGTTTTTCTGGGTACCCAGAATGTGATGCACAAGGGAGATGCAAGCTCCAGAGAGGCACATGCCGTTGGCCCTGTAAGAACTGTACGGAAGCGTGCCAGAGCTGATTCCTCTAACCTGTGGTCCAGCAGGACCTCAGGGCCGCATTTAAGAGACTTCTCCTCCTACCCTGATTCCTAGTCCTGGACATTTTTCTGTATTAAAACACTCGCTTCTGCATAATGCAATGTACCTATAACCCTATTCTACTCCAAATAATAATTATTATTCCTGACAGGGGAAGGACTTCTTGGGTATAAGGAAATAGCAAAATAGAGTTGAAGTTCTAATTTTCTTGTTGTGCTCAGATCTCACTGCTGCCCTACATCTTCTCCTTTCACTCCACAAACACACATTCTGAAACAAACACAGACACACACACACACTGAAACACACACATGCACGCACACACTTGCACACCTGGACAACCCTATATGGTCGAGAATCCCATACAAGACACAATGGTCGCTCTCTTTCCTGTCATTTGTTTGTTGTGAGTCACTTGAACTCCACTGATTTGCATGTTGTTTTCATAAATTTGCATAGCACATTGAAGAGGTCCTCTCTCTTCAGCATCTCTGCTGTGGAAATGTGGCCAGTTCTCCCTGTGCCACAAGGCAATCAAAGGAAGGCTTTATTTCCACATACATTTATTACAATGACGCTTTTGAATGCTACAGAACATAGAAGGACTTTCTTTTAATTAGAGTATCAGTGTGAGGAATTTACTAAAGCCATCCCTTTCTTGCTGTGGTCAATGGGCAACTCAGAATTATGAGAGCAGGTAGCCAGGAAGGTGCACAATGTCCTGCTCTGGGAGGGATATTTTTAAATGATCCCATCAGGGATGTCCTCAAGAAATCCTCGCAGCCACTTGTGTCCTCTGAGCCTCCAAAATCCTGCTCCTTTAGTGGCTTTCACACCAGAGTTCTCACAAGGATGCTGCCAGTGACACTGGGGACCCCTGTCCATCTGGCTTGGCTCAGGACTCCATGCTCCACAGTGAAGCTGAGAAAACTGTGTGGAGTGTTTATATGTCTGTTTTGGTTTCATTTTTGGAATAATGGCCACACTGTACATGACCACCTGATTCTAATCACTCAAAAGAATTTTTTAAAAGGGGTTTTTCAGCCCCACACATGAAAGTGATATTATGAGTCCTGTTGAGAATTGAATCATATGTGCACAGCCCTCACGGTCTCTTACATAATGACCTTGCCTGTGTGCAGTCCTTCCTTCCCTCCCATCTCATAAATCATCCATTTACCTTGGGCATGTTTTTTTTGCTCTTCAACACTGAGCCATTCGCAGAATGAAAAGACAAGAGAAAGGGGTGAGGGATGGGGCCTCAATCCTCTTTGGTTCTCCAGCCACCACATAAAGAAAGACCAAAAGGGAAAAGGGAAGAAATGAAAGAGTACCCATAGAAAAGAGGAAGGAACCTAACAGAGAAGAAAAGCATCAAGAGAATGGTCTTGCTCCAGGGCAGTAGTGTAAGGGCTGTGGATCACAACTCCTTCCCTGCGAAGGAATGGGAAACCCACAGGCCTGGGACTCAAGCCCACTTGGGGAACGTGTGGCTATGCAGTCTTGACCAACTTGTGTAGTCTTCAAGATCAGGATAGCAATGCTGTATAACATCTCACTTACTCCACAGAGAAATAAGGAAAATGAAATCATTTACTATATTGTTTAGAGAAATCCTTATTGGACATGTATGCAACTGTTCCTTCGTGGTCTCCATTGCCTCTCATGAAGTAAACAGAAAAGGAGTTGAACTGCAGTGAATTTTTTTTTCCTTTCTGTTCTTTTTTAATCAGTCCACAAACATTTCTGGACATTCCACTGTATCTTCAACCTGCATTATATAAACTACAATGTACAAATGTACCCACCACCCTGCCCATTCCAAGCTTCCCAAGTCCCAGCAACCCTCCATCACTGTCTGCTAAGATCCCATTAAGTTTCTTGCTGAGGCCATCGTAGTGAGCAAGCATAAGAGTGGAGCCTCTATTTTCAGGTCATTCACTTGAATTTTGAATCTTTGTGAATCACAAGAAAATCTATGCAGAGTAATGTATCCATTATATGATACCCTAATTCTAAAGACAGTGATTCAACTGCTCCTGTCAGGTCTCTAACCATCTCCTTCCATGTGACCAAATCCAAGGGACACTTCTCTGATCTCATTTAATTTGGTTGCTCATCCAACTTACCACTTCCTCTTTCTTTCTTTTTTTTAAAATATTTTTTTAGTTGTAGTTGGACACAATACCTTTATTTTATTTATTTATTTTTATGTGGTGCTGAGGATCGAACCCAGAGCCTCGCATATGCTAGGCAAGTGCTCTACCTACTGCTCAGCCACAACCCCAGCCCTGTACCACCTCCTCTTTCTAAGAATATTCTCTTTTCTTGGTTTTCCTCACACCATCCTCTGTTTTCTTCACTTCAATGGCTTTTGTCTTTTTTCCCTCTGTTGCCTCTACCTCCCCTTTCAGTTTCACAGGTTAATAATATTCCTTAGAGTTTGGTCCTATCACCCTTCTTTTTTTCCTTCCTCTTTCTTTTCTTCTTTTCCTCTTCCTCCTTCCTTTCTCTCTTCTCCCTCTTTTTCTCATCCATCTATATGCTCTCCATGGCTGATCCCGTCATTCTCAACATTTAACTCCATGGAGTTAAAACTCTTTAATCACCTTCTGTTACGGTTTAGGCAAAAGCTCATGAGTGAGACAGTGCACGGATTTTCAGAGGTGAGATGATTAGATTATAAGAGATGTAAGCTAATCAGTGAATTAATCCACTGCTAATGAGTACCAAATTCACAACCACAGATCATCAGAGATCTTTATTTATATATCCAACTGCCTACACTTGGATATCTCAAATGTTTCTCTGATTTAACATGTTTAACATTATCAGAACACAAACCTTGATTCCTGGTCCCCAAACTTAACTTTCCACCTCCACATATCTTCCCTCTAGAACCTCCCAGCATCTGGAGCCAAGACCATGGGGTCATTCTTGACTCTTCACTTTCCTGCATACCCACCATTCAATCTACTAGCAAGTCCTATCAACCTGAACAATAGTCGTGAATCTGTTTATCTCCACCACTACCCTGCCAGCCACACCACCATCATCTCTCACCTGGGTCCACTTTATACCTCCCAACTGGTGTCTTTCTTTCCATTTTTGTTCCCAGCTCAACTCAATTCTTTCTCCACATAGTAATAAAGTAAATTATACTATATCAGATTAATATCAAACATAAATCAGATCATGTCATTCCTCTGCTTAAAACTCTTTAATCACTTTCTGTTAAGGTTTAGGCCAAAAAGCTCATGAGTGAGACAGTGCAAGGATTTTCAGAGGGGAAATGATTAAATTATAAGAGATGCAAGCTAATCAGTGAATTAATCCACTGATACGGATTAATTGGGTAGTAACTGTAGGCAGGTGGAGTGTGGCTGGAGAAGGTGGGTCACTGGGGGTGTGCCTTTGGGCTTTATATTTTGTCCCTGGTGGAGCGGAGCTCTCTCTCTCTTCTTATTGTTGCCATGTCCTAAGCTGCTTTCCTCCTCCACACCCTCTGCCATGATGTTGAGCCTCACCTTGGGCTGTTTTAGTCAGCTTTTTCACTGCTGTGACTAAAAGGACCCAACCAGAACAACTGTAGAGGAGGAAAAGTTTATTTAGGGGCTCACGGTTTTAGAACTGGCCATAGGAGGCCAGCTCCAATCCTTGGGGCTCAAGGTGAGGCTGAACATCTGCTGGAAGAGTGTGGCAGAGGGAAGCAGCTCATATCCTGATGGGAAAGCAGAGGGAGACTCCATTCTCCAGTTACAGAATATATACATCCCAAGCCATGCCCCCCAATTCCCAGCTCCAGCCACACCCTACCGCCTCCAGTTACCACTCAATTCATCCCATCAGGTATTAATTCACTGGTTAGGTTAAAGCTATAATCCAACCATTTCTCCTCCAAACCTTCTTGCATTTTCTCAGATGTGAGTTTTGGGGGGACACCACATCTAAACCATCATAGGCTCAGAGTGATGGAGTCATCCAACCATAGACTGAAACCCTGAAACCATGAGTCAGAATAAACTTTTCTTCTTCTATGCTGTTCTCGTCAGGTTTATTGACAAGTGACAAAATAGCTGGCTAAAGCACCCTCTATTTCACATGGAATAAAATCTAGTTTCTTTACCACAGACCCTGCATGATCTGTCCCCTGTCCCCTCCACCTCATCTCATGCCAGGCTTTCTTTCCCCTTACTTGGTGATAGCTAGTCACACCAGTCCTCTTAGTTCTGTAAATGTGACCAAATCCTTCCTGATTCAGAATCTCTCCTACTTTTACTCCTTTGCCCTTATGTTAAATGTCTTATCCCATAGAGGACTTCTCCCAACAACCCCATTATGAACATTATTTTCCTCACTTTTATTACTTTCTATCTTGGCTCTTTCTTTGTTCCTTTTTTAAACTTGTCTTGATTTCTAATAATTTCTTCCTACTGAAAAAAATTTTTGATGAAATTTGTTTTTTTTTTATGACCTTCAGTAAAATATGAGCCCCATGAAGGTAAGAATGGACTATCTGTGACTATGGTATTCCTCACACCACATCCCGATGTTCAGCACTATGGGAAAAAACGAAGAAAGAAATGAGGAATCACAATCTCTGTAATATTATCCAGGTTTATCCTAATCATTTTCTTCAAATTACAATTCCAGTTTGACTTTAAGACTTGGGGATTGAGGAAGTAGCTCAGCAATAGAGTGCTTGCCTGGCATGTTTAAGGCTCTGGGTTTGATTCCCAGCATTAGGAGAAGGAGGAGGAGGAGGAAGGGAGCCGGGAGAGGAAGAGGAAGAGAAGGAAGAAGACAATGAATCAGGACATACTTGAGACATCTGTTTCTGTGGAAACTTCTAAGTAGCCATCTTTGGCAGATTCAAGTCCCTTTTAGGCCATGCTCATATGGAGAAGAAATGAGCACTCAGAAAAATGACCAAAGTTGAAATATTACATGTGTAATTTGGCTTTTTTTATGATAAATTGTTCCTAAAGAGATCTAAGTAGAGATAACCATCAACCTAACATCTAATTAACTTAAATAGAGCAAATATTGTCTAAATCAGGACACTTAAAGATACACTTTAAATAATAACTCAAGGATAATAAACATCAATGAATATTATCTCATGAAAACCAGAACAAGATGCTCTAACATCAATCACTATGTGGTTCAAATCTTCCTAGAATTTGCAATAAAAAGTTAACATAATGGCTAATCATAAAATTATATTCAAATGGTGTGGACTAATAGCATATTCCACAAATTATTACCTTTTTATCTATAATTATGATCTATTTTATATGACAACAAGTCAGTGGGTAAAGGAACACAGAGTTAAATATGTTGGAATCCAGAAGGGTTCTGTGGGCGAGAATTTGATAGACATCTTTGAGGAGATGGAAGGGGATTTGTTGTCTCATGGTTGATTCTTGGATAAATCAGTAATAAAAAATAATAATTAAAGTTTACTGGGCCTTTATCAGATGCCATATCAACTGAAAAATGCATTTAACATTTCTAACCAAAATAATCCTCAGAACACCTCCAGGAATATTTAGTATTAGTTTCATTTTGCAGAGAAGGTCTTCAAAGTTCAGAGGATTAAACAAATTGCCCAAGATTATAAAACAATGAGCAGCAAAACTGCGCTCACACACAAAGGGGCCTTTCTCTGAAGCCCATATTCTTAGCCACTGGTTGACTCCTTACATTCCCAACTTCCTTCTATAGTTGCAGTTTAGAGGTCTCTCTCTGATCCACACTGGGATAAGCTTCTTCCTGCTGGCACATGCTCCTTTATGTGCTTGGAGGAAACACTAACAAGGCTCACAGATTGCTGCACGTGGAGGGCTGCCTGTCTTGTACCTGTCTAGAGGAATTGAACCATACAGTGTTATGGCTGAAAAAGATCTTGGATGGTCCATGGTCCTGCCTCCTTATTTTGCACATGAGAAAATCAGAGAAATGAATGAACTTGCCTAAAATCACAGAGCCTCACAGTCAAAAGCCAGAACCCAAACCCAGATCTCCTGATTCCCAGTCCAGTATGCAGTGATATTCAAAATACAGAATATATTCAGAGTATATTCAGAATATAGAATATATAGAATATAGCAATATTCAGAATATAGAATCTTCAGAAAAAATTTTCCCATGTAAATATTTTATAGGTAATTTAGTAATAATATAAAACATTAATTTTACAATAAATAATGCATATTTACAAAAAAAATGTAAACATAGCCTGGGGTACACTGTCAGGCTTGGAATTAGCTCCATGGTCCCAAGGAAATGCAGCACATGCACAGGATGCTGTCCCACACCTGGGACCTGGCAGTCCTCCCTAGATTGTGTCTGCATTTTCCCAGAGTGGCAGAGTTCAGGCTGCACAGCTGCAGGAAATTGTCTCCCTCTACGACCCTCCCATTTGCTCATCTGTAAACCATCAGAAGGATGTTCCAGACTTGTCCAGGATGTTCCTGGCTTCCACATCTCCTTCGCTCTCTTTCATTCTCAGCTGAGACCCCTGACTGTTCATTAGAGAAGACCAGCCCATCTCAAGGCTGTGAAACAAGCAGGACCATTAGTGGACCTGGGAAGGCCAGATAGGACACACACAGCCCGGGGCCGCCTTAGTCTATCCTGCTGCTGATTCCAGACTCCAAACCTGGCCCCACTGATGACTGGGTTCCTGATCTTCTCCTGAGACCAAAGTCCAACCTCAGATCCCCACTCCAGGAACCTGGCCCCATCTTTGTCCTCACGACTGGGTCGCTCATGATAATCAATTCTTAGGACCAGACTTAGGAATTTTTAGAGGCCTTAAATACTCTAAATAGTATGCAGTTTCTTTACCTCCTCCCTTTTTTTCTCCATCCAAGTTAAAATAAAAAAAAATACTATGTCATAATTAAAGTTTTAGAAATGATAAAAAAAATGTACATAGATACTATTGTTAAAATACCGTCTTCCTAGATATTCTCATCTCTCTCCCTCCCTCCCTCCCTCTCTTCCTCTCTCTGTCTCTCTCATGTGTGACATGTACCCTTGCTTTGCTGAGGCCAAATTACCCAGCTGTGAATATTTCTCCCTTGTTAGGTAGCACAGCTTACCTGTCTCAGAGGCCCTGGAGGGACGGTGGATTAGAACAGAGTTTCTCTTTCTGGTTCTGGTGTTCCTTGAGGGGACTCGTGCCACATGCTATATTTTCCCCCCTAACAAAACAAAACAAACACATCATCCTGTTTCTATATCAGGCAGTTTCTTTCCACTGTCTACCTTGGGTGGCTTCCAAGTGGAGGGCTGGCAGTGACACACTGACACCTTCCCATTAAGGGCTTTCCCAGGAGCTTCTGACATGATTTCCCAATGAGGAACGGGGCCCAGGCACCTCCTCCTGGAAGGCTTACCCCAGAACCCTCTAGAGCTATGATGTGCTGAGAGCCATAGCCGAGTCCGAATGACGCATGGCATTTTTGCCAGAACGGAGTGGTTGAGAGGTGACGCCAGCAAGCTATTGAGACGATAATGGTTATGTTAAGCTGTGTATATTAGACCCCTGCTGTCCGCCTCAGCCTGCTACTTTGGAGTTCTCAGGCTACTTTGGAGATCTAGCGGGGATTCCCGGAGAGTTCCCATTGGTTGGGGAAGTGCCGGAGGAGGGATTTCCGGTTGGTGGTTCCTGGAGGAGCCACGTGGTTGGTGTTCGGGAGAGTTTCTGGGGAGCGTGTGTGGAGTGTGCTAGTGGAGTTCGGAAATAAAGTTTGTTCTTGCTTCAGTGGCTTGTGATTTGTGCCAAGCCAGACTGCGGCATTTGGTGGCCCGTACGGGAATGAATGAACCTGCGACTCCAACTGAGCTAACCATTATCATCTCAATGGCTTACTGGCGTCATCTCTCAACCACTCCGTTCTGGCAAAAATGCCATGCGTCATTCGGACTTGGCTATGGCTCTCAGCAGTGATGCATTAGTCAACCAGAGCTGCATCCTCACCAGTGAGGTCTGGACCCCAACTGGATGGGAGTGGGTGTTCTTCCTGGAGAGCTCTAGCTCAGCTCCAGGGACAGTGGTTGCTCTGTGTATATGTTCTTCTTCTTCTTCTTCTTCTTCTTCTTCTTCTTCTTCTTCTTCTTCTTCTTCTTCTTTTTTGGCATTCTTTTTACCTTTTACTAACTGATATGTTGCTCCAATCTCTTGTTGATTAATTCTTTATATTCAACTTTTTCTATTCAAATTCCTTTGTTTTATGTCTTCTGATTGGACTCTGATGGATATGAAATTAGCTTCAAAAGTAGTTCCAAGAAATGGGCTAGGAAAGAGGATTTGGTCGTTTGGCCATATTCTTGAACTTGTGTGCAGCACTGAGCTCCTTGCCAAGGGGAACAGAGTGCTAGTGAACCAGGACATGCAGCATCACCTAGTTAGTCAAGTTGTCACCTGTAGTTGATTGTGGATGGAATGCCAACTGAAGCAAGTGCCATGGGAGCCCAGGTGGCTGCTACACTTGATCATTATAACAATAATGGTGGCTACAAGGGCCATGGCATGGAATGGACTTTTGTAAGCTTGAGCACTTCCAGAAAGAAAACAATAAGCTTGGATTCTTCAACTCCAAGCTCAAGTCACAATGTGAGAACCAGAAAGCCTTCATGACATTCCTGCCAGTGTCTCTGTGAGGACATGACAAGAATCTCCACAGGTCTTAGCAGCTTCACCTTTCAGAGGTCACCATATCTCCACCTTCCTCAGATGACTACTGCCTTTCCTGGTACCTCTGAAGTATGTTCTCAAGTCTTAGCTCGTATTTAGGATTAACTAACTCATGGATTAACCATGTGAAAAAATTACATTTAGTAGATTAACAAAAGTGAGAACCTTAATAGAACACCACACACATGTCTACATTTTAGAAGGGACCAAGTGAAGATGCAGGACTGCTCCAACCCCAGCCAGTTATAAGCATCTTATCTGTCAGAATCCCATGTTTCCATCCTACATAGGGAGAGAGGAAGTGCAAGATACAACCAGAAGAACGTTATGCGGTCTGGTCAATTATAAACTCGCATCTGTGCACAATCCCCTTCTCTTGACTTTAGGGGTAATGATAGGGTTTTTTAGCTTTGCCTCATCTTTTAATCTTATATGCATTTAATCTAGGATTAGAGAGCAGTTTTGCTGCAAAAGTCCAGAACATGGAGCTTTTAATTTAGTGCAGTAATATTGGGGAACCACCCTTCAAGAGATTGAGAAGGTATATGAAGAATGAGGAAGAAAAGCCTTTGAGGGAGCTGACATTAAGAAGGTGGGTAATTTAACTTCAGAGCTGTGTGGCTTGCCTGTGATGCATGTGACCTGGGTGTGTGACACTGAGGAATGACAACATGGTGAGGTTGCCTGACAGAGAGATGCTGAATGATTGCAGCAGTGCAGGCTGGAGGCAGCTAGCACAAACATGACCATGCCCGGGCTGCACTTTATCACCTAGACCATCTGCTGGTAGGTTTAGAAAGCAGAGGACCATTTGCTAAGTGACAAACTGATGTCACGTTATTCTAATGTTCAACATAAGAAGAGCTCTGCCAAGCAGCAGACAATAACAACAGACTATTTTGTCGATTTTCATCAAGCAATTTGTGTGATGTTTTCAATCCCTTAAGTATTATTCTTGCATTATGTTTATACTTTGATAGCATCTGCAGAACAGGAAATGTGTCCCTAAATATTGGATGTCATTTTAAGTAAATTGTTGTTCATTAAACCCATTGTAGACACTGTTTTGCCTGAATTTGTTTTAGCAGCTGTCGGGGATTCTCCATAACTCCTTCCACCTCTCCTCTTCTTAAACCCCTCACGTACATTACCACAAACACCTGACAGTTGATGGGTGCATCTCATGATGGTGCCCCTGGCTTGGGCTTCAACCCGGAGTCTGAGATACGTGGTCTGCACTTCTAAACAGAAGCCAAGTGCCTAGAAATGCCACTGGCCCCATACATGCCTTTATCTTCATCTTTGAGACATATATGTTTTTCTCTGCTCTAAAGAATGACCATTGCTTCAAGAGGGGCTGGCTCTTCCTCAATGTTCTGACTGATACCTCCACTGATCACACACATTTACACACACTGACACACAAATCACAATTCCTTATGCAGAATGCTTTGCTTGATCTCCTCCACAATTTACCACTGTCTTTGTTGTGGAATACATCTACATGTAGCTTATAATACCGGATTTATAAGTAATTTGAGGATGAACTGTTGTGTTTAACCAAATGTGCAAGCTTGCCTTCTCAGTACCCATTGCTAACGTCCCTTGAGCTCTTTCTACTGGCCAGGCACCATGCTAAGCTACTGTGGAAGAACATGTCCAAAATCCCAGGGAATTCCTATAAGGGAAATGCCATTCATGTTTTCGTTTTATAAATGGGAAAAGTAGGGAGTAGAGGGATGACTTAGTCCATTTTCTGCTCCTCTAACAGAATCCCACAGACAGGGAAATATAAATAAAAAGAAAGTTATCTCTCATATTTCTGGGGATTTTGAAGTCTAAGATCAAAGGGCCACATTTGGTAAGGGCCTTTTTGCAGCATCATAGCAGTAAGAGGGCTTTTATGAGCAGGTAGAGAAGGAGCATGAGAACATAATGGAGAGACACCACACCTTTATAATGAAGGCAGTTCTGTAACCACTCTACTCCTTCGATAGCCCATTTCATGAATGTGAAGCCTCTTACACGTCACGCAACTCAATACGATCACAGTGGCAATTAAATTTCAGCATGAGCTTTGGAGGTGAATTCAAACCATAGCAAATGATTTATTAACATCCCCAGTGTTGCATTGCTAGCAAATGGCTGAGCTGGGATTTAAATTGAGGGATCTGATTCCAGCACCTATATGCTCATAGCTGCTAAGATGCCCTTCCATGTAGCTCTGCAATATTCTAGAATATTCAAGCATCACCAGGCTTTCAATTTCATTTACGAAACTTAGAGTGTTGAGTGATGAGTTATAAAATTGGTAAAAAGATGAATTCTACTAATCTCACATATCAATGTCATATAGCTTTAGAAGCAGGAATATGGGAAGATATTACTGTGATAAGTCCTACAAATGTCCTCAGCTGTGCAACGTTGTCTACTCAGGCTTCTGTTTGTCAGGAAAAGCCTCTTTGTTTAAAACAACAGGGATCAGAACAAATACAAAAATCTTCCAAGTAAGGCCTACACGTGGGTCTGATTTAGAACCAAGATCTGGCCAGGCATGGTGGCACACATAGTCTCAGTGACTGGGGAGGGTGAGACAGGAGAATCCCGAGTTCAAGGCCAGCCTGGGCAACTTTAAGACCCTGTCTCAAAATAAAAAATAAAACAGGCTGGGGATATAGCTCAGTGACAGAGTGTCCCTGATTTCAATATCCAGTACTGCAAAGAAAAAAAATTAGATACGATGTTGTCTATATTGAGTTGCATGTAAAAAAATTCTCAGGAGTAGATTTACCCTAAGAATGGTTGTTTAGTATTTTATTCTCATTGCTAGACATTTAGGCAGGTCAGGGGCAGATCCTCAACAAAACCATTATTTACTGCAAGAGCCAGCCAACTTTCATGTAAAGGGTCCTTTATAAATATTTTAGGATTTGTGGTCTGTGTGGCCATAACTACTCGACTTTGCCATGTGGAGCAAAACAGCTATAGACAATGTGTAAACAAAAGGGCATGAGGGGCTGGGTTCCAATAAAATTTTATTTATGATATTAAATTTTGGAGATCATATAATTTTCAGGTATCCTGGATTATTACTCTTCTTTTGATCTTTTTTCCAATTATTTAAAGGTGTAAAAACCATTCCTAACACAAAAACCATAAAAAACCATCCCAAGCTACCAGAACACCAGCAACTGATTGGCACAGAGGGGATCCATCCCTGTGCAAAGTCTACTCAGCTCTCCCAAGGGCTGTATAACCCACCCTGGGGCACAATGTTTGGCATATGATACATGCTGGAAGAGAGATAGTCTGTGGATCTCCTTTTTCTGTGCCACAGAGAGCATCTTTTTACAGAGGAAACACCCTGGACTTGGGTGAGCAAGAAAAAGTTCATGGTAGGAAGAAATGCTCTTGCCCCCTGCAATCGTGGGAGTCAATACCCATGACAGTGTGAATTGCAGGGCTGTCACCTGTCAAACTGTTTGCATGAATCATAGATGATATTAATGAGCATCTTTGCAAAAGCTTCCCATGCAATTTACCAAGAAATAATCC